ATAAACCTAGCATTTTCAAGTTTTAGTTTTGCCTCTCGTATAATGCATAATCTCCAGAAAGGAACAAGTAAAATGCTGATACACACGGTGTAATCATATTTTCCCAGACTGCTGAGTATGTCCCATGTTGACGTCAGACAAGCAGTTTAGGAGAGAACGTAAAAAGCTTACAATTGTCCCAGAAAAGTAAAAAATATATATTTACATGTAATTGAGCATTCTTTGGTGATTTAATGATAGAAATACATGCTTTTAGTACCATAATTACACTATTTATGGCAACCTGGTTGTATATCTGCTTTCAGATGCTCAAATGAGCTTATGGTATGGATCAGGTAGGGGTTATACAAAGCCCATTATAATACAACAGATGTACGTACATCTATTGAACTTGACGTTTTAATGCTTTCAGTCTAGAAAATGACTGTTTCCTAGCAAAGGCTGTTTAGAATATAACAAAAGCTCCATAGGGCTGTTTTAGCTGTGCAGATCACGCTGAGCCTGCTGACTTACAGTCATGCTGTCAAACATCTGAGTGCTGTCATGGACGGAGGAGATCTCCTGGGCTGACAGAACTGGACTGACATATTTGCTGGTGAACTTCTCCACGGCAGAGCTCACTCTCTTCTCCTGACTGTTCCACCACAGACGCACCATAGCAGGGAGGTCCTGCACTGTGCTGTAGTATACACTGCAGGCCAGGTGAGGGAGCTCCGACTCAATGCCAACACTCTCTGTAGTAAAGACAGAACACAAAGAATGAAATGTACTTTCCCTTTAATAAGAAAACAAAACATGACCTTATTTTTTAATAGGCAGGAATTCCTGAAAAGAAGCCAGTCAGAGGCAGTTTTCTTTCTTATGTTGGTTACGTCCTCAAAGTGACAAAGGTTATGGTGAGCCCACATAAACAGGTCCACACATGTAGGAGATAATCCACAGAAGCATAAAAAGGAAGGAGTGCAGAGAAAGAGCATGGAGTCATAATTGTGACATACTTGGGGCCCCATGGTATTAAATCTGTATACATAAAATGTTCAAAATGCACTTTAAGATGATTTGTTTGAGTATTTATTGCATGAACTCAGGATTCTGGGTTATTCGTTTCTAGGTTGGATGGAGAGCATCTGAATATTCCTTTCCAATTCTTGCCAGTGATTCTTTTTTATTTTAGGTCTGGCTTAGGATCATTGTTCTGCTAAAGGCTAAACCATCACCTCATCCACAAATCCTCTGACTGGAAAACGGATTTTTCTCCAGGACTGAAGATCATTCCTTCTTTCCTAGCATCGTGTTAGGGGGACGATTTACTGTATGTTTTAGTTAAAGGATGGTGTGATCTGAATGATGTACTGTGGTATTTTTTGGCACATATAGCTGTTGGCTCAATAATCACACTGTTGACGTTAATATCCACACTTTAATGGTCGCCATTAACAGTTTCCAACATGCGCTCCCGCGCTCATCACTCCACACCAACAAGAAGGAAACACAGATCTAGCCCCGCCTCCCATTCCTTACATCTCATACATGTACAGTCTGCTACTTACAACTTAACAATAGCATTTTGCATGCGGGCCGAAAACAGATTTTTGTCTTAATTGACAAGAGCATTTTCCATGCCGATGTGTTGAACAGCAAACAAGATTGCCACGTACAGAATGAAGATTATAACTGTATATCCAGACAGAGCAACTGTCTTAATTAGATTAACTACTGTGGAAAACATCAGTTCTGACGCAACAGGCCGCTAATATCAAGGTGTTATAAATTCACACATCATTGATCCTAACAATTGCTAGATCTTGCCAGAAGCCAGTAGGTGCAGAAATCAATACAGAAATATTTAGCACCAATGAAATGCAGTGACGTGTATGAAATCAACCAGAAACTGCAGGCTGCAGCAAAACTAACATGTCTGCACCGGTGGACGTGTCTGTAGGCTCCACTATTCAGCCT